TCTACCTTTGTTTTCCGTTGTTGAGTCGTTTTGGCTGTGGTCAGTTGTAGGCTCAATACCCGGTTGAGAACCCTTTTCTCATTTCAATTTCAAAATAAATCGCTTTGTGCTCAGAGTGCTGTGGCATTCTCCACATTTGTGCAAAACAAGATTCTTTCTTTCATAAACCGCAAGGGTCCAACCCAGGTCATGAGAGAACAGTAGAACAAAGACCTATTTGAAGCTATATAGGTTCCGGGCTGCAAAGCAAAAGAAAAGAGGGAAAATTTGGAGCATCTTAGTATGCTTCGACTTCGGCAATTCCGAGACTGCATTCCAGGTGCACCTTCTCAGGCCTCACCGTTTCTCTGGAGTATGAGTATATCTTGACCCCAAACTTAAGCCTGCTTCAAGTCAGAATGGCAGTCCAAGCAGCACCTATGGTTTTCACATGCAGATGTTATCTCTCACCCATGTAGACAGGGTGTCCCCTTTTGTGCTGAGCGTGTTGCCAAGTCCTCCGAGAGGTAAATCGGAGGCAGCAGAGTACATGTTTCATGCTCCTCTATTGCATAGAATGTGCACTTTCATATACACTTTTGTTGCATGCGTGTCGCGCATCGTTTTGATTCATGCATAGAATGTGCTTGCTTTCGATTCCCCATAGAATATGCTTTACTTCCAATCATGCGTAGCATATGCTTTCAATGCTGCATAGAATATGCTAGTCTCATGCATAGAATATGCTTTCAATATTGCATAGAATATGCTTTCCATGTTGCATAGAAAATGCACTCTTCCATACTTGCATATAAAATGCTCATATCTCTTGCATAGAAAATGCATTCTCCCTCACTTGCAAAGAACATGCATTTTATCGCACTTTCCTGTGCATTTTATCTCACTCGCACTGTCTTGTGCACATTGTATTTCTGTATCACTCGCACTGTTTTGTGCACTCACTTTGGTCTAGGAGACCTTAAATCCCGCGTCTCCCCTCACACTGTCTTGTGCACTTTCACATTTTTTATCACTCACACTCTCTTGCGCATCGCACTGTTTTGTGCAGTATACATTCGCGCTCTCTTGCGCATCACACTGTTTTGTGCAGTTTACACTCGCGCTTTCTTGCGCATCGCACTATTTTGTGCAGTTTACACTCGCGCTCTCTTGCGCATCGCACTGTTTTTTGCAATTTACACTCGTGTTTCTTGCGCATCGCACTGTCTTGTGCACTCACGCTGTTTTGCGCATCGCGTTATTTTGCGCCGTGACCGTTACTTGCATTGTGCATGTATTTTATCGTGCTATTTTGCACATCGCACTATTTTGTGCACCTTACTTGCATTGTGCATGCATTTTATCGCGCTATCTTGCGCACCTTACCTGCACTCATTAGTCCATTGTTCGCACTTTCTTGCGCACCTTACCTGCACTTGTTAGTGCATTGCATCGTTTGCGCTTTCGTGTGCATCTTACCT